CCCCCCCACCCCCCTAAAAATTTCTGAGGTGGGAATTTGTGGAATAAACCATCTGAATAGAAAAATGATATTTGTAGAGATGACTTCTTCGTACAGAAATCGAACGTACATCTTTTGTGCAAGAGGCAGCATCTAACCATTACTCGAGAAAAAGAAGAAAAAGAGAAGCGAATAGAGTGAGGATGAGAAATTTGTGTGTGATCTAAGTGTGTACGCTTGTTGAATTTTTGTGAACCTACGATTGTGCTTATCTGTAGCATATTATTTGAGTTCGGTGTGTATTTGTCTTGTATTATCACTGTCGGTAGCTTGAAGAAGAATTGCCTTTGTGGATAATACAGTCCGCTTATCGTGCCTTGTCTTATCTACAATACTTTCACGGCCGCGTTTATAGTGAAGCAAAGGACAAAAGGCATATGATCCAGGTGATATATACAAACAATATTGTTCAAGATCAAAGCTCCATTTTCATTTTAGCGAAGCAGGATCGCAACAAAAAAAAAGAAAAAAAATTCTTTTAGAAACTAGCAAGCAAGAAGCTCTATTTCTCATTATCTCGGAAGACAGAGCTCGAGTTTTTCGTATAATAATGCGGTAAGGTTGGGCTATCAAAACTCATGGTTGTCGAAAAAGATTTTGAAACCCAAAACAAAGAGAATTTCGTGACATGTGTTCTTGGTCACTCTGTGTCTCTTTGGGTGGATAGTTCAATCGCGACAAGAAATAAAGCCCCCCAAAGTTACATGTTAGAGCAGTACCGTACTATATTGCTTATCTATCTTCTGAAGCGGAGGAGTACTCAATCAAACGGGTACTTACTGGTCAGTTTATGTGAGTCCTGGCTCGATCTTGACTTTGCTTCCGTAGCCAATAAAGAACTCGATACTAGTATAGTGCAATATACGCTCGCTGCTTATCGTCTCTTGCACGTGGTTGTTTTGATCTCAGCGGAGAGCCGATCGCGTGTGAGAGCCCACTGCAGTGAACTATCGACTGGTATCAGAGGTCCTTTTGACTGGGGGAAAGAGGAAAGGGGACGGAGGGTTGGGGGGAGGAGAAGGAGAGAGAGAGAGGTGAGGATAGAGCCCATAGGGTAATGGAAAAGACAGGAGGAAACGGAAATGTAGGGTGAGGGGAGGGAGTGGTTAGGGTAGAGCCCATAGGACATTACAAAACGTAGAAGGAAACAGTGATGTTGAAGAAAGGGGAGAGGTGGAAGGGACGAGTGAGGGGGGTGGGAGAGGGGGTGAGGCTAGGGCCAAAGAGGATCGGGGAAGACAAGGAGTAAAAGGAAAGTAGGGAAAAGCTGGGAAATGGACGTGGCGAGTCGGGGGGAG